TTATTTGGTCTTGTGTTGCTGCTGAAATGTGAATAAGATGAGGGCTCTCCTGACCTGAACAGGGAGGCTAGTCCACCACATCGAAGCCACCACCAAAAAAGCTCTAGAGTTATCGGATGCAGATCTAAGTAGCACTCTGCAGTATATTTGGTGATCCTGAAGGTATGTGGGTCCTAGGCCATGAAGGGTTTTCATAGGTTATAATCAGCATCTTGAATCGGACCAGGAAACAAATGAGCAGCCAGTGCAGTAACTTTACCACTGGTATATAAGGTTGCCAGCTCCGTGTTGGGAAATACCTGGAGATTTTGGGAGTGGAGCCTGGGGAGGAGAGGGTTTGGGGAGGAACCTCTGCAGAGTATACTAGTAGAGAGACCACTCTCCAAAGCATGGTGGGGTTTGGGAAGGGGAGGGACTTCAATATAGGATATAATGCCACAGAGTCCACCGTCCAAAGCGGCCATTTTCTCCAAGCGAACTGATCTTTGTCACCGGAGATTTCCAGCCACCACCTGGAGGTTGGCAAACCTATAATATGTGACTAACTGCCAACTCCAAATTGTGAATGAGCTGCAGCATTTCACACTAGTAGCTGAATTTTTCAGCTTGCCTTTAAGAGCAGACCCACATAGAGCACATTACAGTAACCCAGCCTTGAGGTTATTGTAGCATGGATCAGTACGGCCAGTCTGGTCAAGTCAAGATAAAGGGCCAATTTCTCCACCAAATGCAAGTAATAGAAGGGAACTTTAGCCACCACATTAACCCATCTCTTCTTGGAAGAACGAAGTCTAGCAATACTCCCAATCTCTTAATGGAGACAGCCAAAGGTAATCACGCCCCATCACAAGTGGGGAGCGCTACACCCTTCAGATATCCTTTCTAACTAGAGGTGCCAGGGACTGAGAGCAGCCAAAGGTAATTACACCCCATCACAAGTGGGGAGCGCTTTCTAACTAGAGGTGCCAGGGACTGAGATTTCCTTCATGCAATGCTCTACCACTGAGCCATGGACCCTTCCTCTTAGCTTTAGGATACACTGTCACCTGTGTTCCCTCTAAGTTGAATTAGTGTGAGCTAGCTCACCATTTTTTAGCCTCTGGCGCACACATTTTTGTCTTAGCTCAGGAAGGATGGCTCCAGAGCCAACTGATTGAGGCAGCAGCCCAATCGTTCGCTCACAACTTCAATGCCAGGAGCTCACAAAGTAGAATTTCTGCTCACAAGACCCCACGGCTTGGAGGGAGCACGGACTGTCACCACAATCGAAAGTCTCTACACATGGAGGTCCACATGAGCAGGAGCTCCATGCATTGTTAAGGTCACTTTCGCCTTTAAATTCGCCACAAAATGGACCCTACAAGAAAACTGGCAACTTGGATGCTTGCTGACCTAGTTAAACATGTTTTTGCTGATGTGCCAATTGTTTCATTTGTTTCCTACGGAAATGCTTATCAGTTTCCCGGGTGTTTATGACAAACATTAGCAGGTTTGGTGCAACTTGCCGAAGAGCAAAGCCGAAGAAAGGATGTGGTTGCTTAGGTAGTCAATGCTTGGTTTGACGGCTATTTCAGGCAAGAGCTCTTAGGCCCCATCACCACCCAAGGCAGCCATGCCATATGCGGTAGCTTTAATTGGGAGTCACAGGTGCAGCTCAGCTGCATTGATGTAGGAAGGTCATTTCCAAACTCTGTGCCAAGACACACTGGCATGCTCAAGGGAACAGCTAGCACAGTACGAAAAAACAAAGAACCCAAAGAACCTGCCCACAGACAAAGCTGTACAGTTCCCATCTGCATGATGCACACTCCTCTGGTCCCAGCTCTGGGATGAATAATTCTGCCATATCTTTGCATCAGGCATGTGACTGGACCAATCACTCTCAATGGAAATCCAACAGATTTCCCCAGATTAAGCTACCTGTCGCACCTCTGCATGAGCCACTGCTTTGGACTTTCCTCCTTCCCCATCAGGAGTCATGCTTAGAACAGTGACTCATGTAGAAAGACCAGCAGCTTGAGGTACACTTAAAGCTACTGATTATTATAGTCATATTTATTTTGTTTGTATTCTTACTTTCTTTATTCAAAAGAAATAAATACAAATGTAAAAAATGAATTGTCAAAAGAATTGGCTCTCCTTCTCCCACAGAGTAGCTGGTCTCTGCTGTTGCCTGAGAGAGGAGGGGGCAGCAGATAGCTGTCCAGGCAGGCTGATGGAAGGAGCCTTGGTCTTCACTGCCAGCAGGCATAGTGATGGCCGCTAGCTTTGGTGGTTTTAGAAAGGGATTCGGTGCACTCATGGAGGAAGAGTCCTACAAGGGCTAAACGGAACCTGCATGCTTGGAGGCAGCATACTTCTTAATGCCATTCTGACCTAGAAGTGTTTATAAATATCCAGGAGTATTAACCTGACCTTTTATGGCCTATTGAAGAGGATCTTTAGCTGATGTGACCAGTCACCCCACATGTCCTTCCTTTGGCCAGACTGGGGTGGTGGCGTACAGGCTGAATCCCTTCTTCTGACAGGGCATCCATTCTAGACCCACCTGCAATTTAAGCCATGAGAAGTAAAAACTTCCATGGGTGAATGAGCCATCACAAGAGAATCATGGCAGGTAGAACATCTATATCCCCTCCCCACAAACACACATATATTTCCATTTCTCATTTGGACAGAAGCCATTAAAGGCCAGTACACATGTGGATGTTCACTAGCCAACGAATGCAATATCAAAAGAAGACATGCTTCAAAGGGCCATTCAAACTCTCATACCACAGATGGAACTCACAGGTCACTTTGTCTACTATGGCCCTGTTCACACGAGGGGTTTTGGGCCGGGAGAGGGACGGATTGGGGCCGCAGCAAACGGGCACGACCCCACAGCAACATCTGGGAATCGTGCTGCGCCCGTCCCCCATCCGTCCCTTCCGCCGAAAAAGCGCACCAAAAAAGAACCACCTAACCGGGTGGTTCAATCGAAAGGGCCGCGGCAAGTGCGGCCGTGGGATCGGCGGCGCGTCCTTGTGCTGGCGCATCCCCGGCCCCCGGGCAAACTGTGCATGCTCAAGCATGTGCAGTTCGGCAGCCTCCCCCTCGCACTCATCTCTTCCTCCCCAGCATCTGATCGTGCCGGGGAGCCACGGCGCGCGGCTCACAGGATCCGTGGGATCCCACCCGCAGCGTCTCTATTTTGGTGCAGCTCTAATTAGCTGCACTTTCATTGGTGTTTTCCCTGCCGTGTGGCAGGGGCCTATAACACTTTTCAACAGAGTCAGAACAGCCAATCAGAAAACTCCTTGCCAGGTTGTTGAAAGGATAAATGACAGGGGTATCCATGTATACTATCATGTGCTTCTTGGAAGAAAGACTGCCAATGTGGAAGATATTATTATTAATAATAAAATAAGGCATGCAGCAATCACATATGGAGAAATCAAGAGATGTGCATGGACGTCTGAACCATCCCCAAGTTACCATGCAAGTCCAGAAAGGCTGTGGACTGTTCCAATGGGAATCTATTTTAATGGCAATATTTCACAGTTCCAGAACAGGGCTGTACAGTTCTTCAGTCTTAATGTGCCAGAAACAACTCAAGCATGGAGTTACTTATTTGAACTTCATAACACAAGAGCTGCATTGTTTGCTTTTGTTTCATGCACTTCTTGGTTCTTCTGACAATAGGCACCAGTGGGGGACAGCAGAGCAAAGAGAACCCCCAAATCAGGGCAAGGATTCCTAAGTCAAAACAAGGGTTCAAACAACATGCCCTGAACAAAATCAAAAACATGCTTATCTGCATCTCCTTTCAGGATAATATTTAGAACCAACAGTGTTAGCAATTGAAAACACTTGATGTCCTAAGTTGAGGAAGAGACTGAATCGTCAGAAGGGGGACTCATGGACAAGACTCAGCCCATGAAAAGCAGAACATTGCCCTTGGCACATCTCCGAAATGCAGATATGTTATCAGGAACCATGGGCCCTGCAGATCAGATTCCAGTTCTCTGTCCCTTGCGCCACTAGGGATTTCCAAGCCAGGAGAGTTATGGAACAGTCCCTAGTGCTCTTTGCCTGGGGCGTCTGCTAATAACAGAGGTCCAATCACGTGCCCTTAGGAGATACAAGAATACACACATCAGTTGCCTTTCCTCACCAAGCCGGTATGGGTACAGTGACCACAGAACAGAGGAGAATCAGGTTCAACCCCTCAGCCACGAACTGTATGGGGCAATGTTGGGCCAGTCACTTGAACTCAGCCTAACCTGCCTCACAAGATGACTGAGGATAAAGCAGAGGAGAGGAGAAGTCTTAGTGAAACGCCAGGATAAAATGCAAGAGAGACAGACAAGGCCACCCTCTGCGCCGTCTAACCTCCAGGCAAGGATAACATCCTGTTATCCAAGCACCTGCCCTCAGGCCTGACCACTTAGTAAATGCACTGAGAATGTAATACACTGATAGGGTGGAGAGCTACATGTTATCAATCACACAGGACGGCTTCTGAAAACACTCACCCCATGTCATGCCCCACCCTTTTTCCTGGCAGCATCGAGTTCCATCTGACTGACAGAGGGAGAGGAGATACATATCATACTGATATCAGGAGGTGGGGTGAGTTGAACCAGATGGTATATAAAGGGAAATATGGCACGGGGCTACTGCTTTTTGCTGGCAGGCCTCAGTACTTGGTAATAGGTAGTTCCAACCATATTTATAACCTGGTATAATAATCATTATCTCTGGAAATTAATGTTTTATGGAGCGGGAGGGGGAGGCACAGAAATCTCAGATACAGAAGTCCCAGAATCTCCACCAACTTACAAATTCCCAGGATTCTTTGCGAGAGGCCATAACAGTGAAACTAGTACAGTAAACAAAAACTGATATATAATTTACAGAGTTTATTGTATTACATTGTTAATGCATGATTATCATTTTTTTTTACCAAACTCTGTATTAAATAGTTATTTTGTAATACGTGTTCATCACTTCTGTTTTTTACCTACCTATATAAAGTAGTTATTTTGTAAAACTGAGATGGTAATTCAAATGGACAGAAGTCCATAACAGAAACAGGAACTCCACACACACATCTGGAAGATACTTCAGACACTGACAGTTATGAAACAGTCTGCTGTGATGGACAATGTTGGAAATTTTGAGGGAATTTGGGGACTCGCACCCACACAGCCAAGATCACCACTTGTCACTTGGTCATTGCTCAGGTCGGAGGCCAGTGTTTGGCACATTTGAATTGTTGCTGACATTGCTAGACAGAAGGCTCTAGATCAATGTGCTTCCAGCACTTCACCAAAGTGCTCCAGGAGTATATACATGAGATTCTAAACAATAACAATGGCAATGGCAATGGCAATGGCAAATGAGCATATAAAGCTAGAACCAGTAATGAACCACAAGCATTTCAGGCTGCCTTGTAGAGCATTTGGCCTCTCCTTGTTTATTGTCCTGAATTTGAAGCAAGTGGGTTTCTTCTGCTCTGCTGGCTGTTTGAGAATCCTGGCTCACTTTTGACCTCAAAAGTAGTTTTCATGTGCTGAGGGGGAGGCCCACATTTCACAAGGATTGTGAAACACTCGTAAAACTGAAGAGACAGAAAGGAAACAAAACAGTTGCAGGAGCATGCCAGCAGTTTGAGAGAATCATCACAGTTTATTTGTACCCACCTTGTCTATTTGTTCAGCTAGCCACAAACTCACAACTTAAAGAAAACAGCCAGTGTATTTTCCTTGTTCCTCTGGGTGAAATAATCTACCCTGACTTGTGCTTAAAGCACTGAAGCCTTTTGACTAAGGAGATGTTATAGAATGGCAGCACACATGTTTATTTATCTAAAATATTTCTGTGTTGCCTTTCTACTCAAATAGGATCCCTAAAGCATCAAACACTGAAACAGTTCAAGCATTAAAACAGTGTTTAAAATAATGTATATATAAAATATTTAAACACTTCAATTTAAAACAACATATAAACACAGTCAACATAACGAGTGAGGAGGGCCAATAAGGGTTACTGTATGCCAAACAGAATGAAAAAGTCTTCACCCACTGGTGGAAGACAACGTAGAAGGAGTTTCAAAGTTTTGTTGCCAAAACTGAGAAGTCACTTTCTCAAGTTGCCACTCATCTAGCCTCAGATGGCAGGGATACCAGAAGCAAGGCCTCTGAAGATGACCAGAGTGTACAGGTAGGTTCATATGGGAAAAGGTGGTCCTTCAGGTAAGCATGCCTCAAGCCATATAGGGCTTTATAGATCAATACCAGTAGAAAAAGCCCAGCAGGAACTCATTAGCATAATAGGCCACACCCAACAGCAGAAACTCATTAGCATATTAGGTCACACCCCTGATGCATTAGCATATTAGGCCACACCCACGCCTTCCTTTAGCTTGCTCAGGCGCCCTGTGGCTGCGGGGTGCCCGGGCAAGCCGGCCCTTGGAAGGGAGGGGGAGCAGTTTAAACTGCCTTCCTTTGGCTTGCCTGGGCGCCCCGCGGCTGCAGGGAGCCCAGGCAAGCTGGCCCTTGGAGGGAAGGGAAGGCAGTTTAAACTGCCTTCCATTGGTTTGCCAGGGCGCCCTGCTGCCGCGGGGAGCCTGGGCAAGCCGTCCCTTGGACAGGCTGGGGAAGGCAGGGGGAGGCATTTAAATGCCTCCCCGATTCTTCCAGGGTCCCCCCTGGCTCGCCCGCCTCAGAGTTGCCGGGCGGCGTTACTCTCCAGGCCTTCCCTCTATAGCCACGGACACAGAGGTTTTGGCTGTAGTGGGCGTGGCCAACTGTGAAGCCAGTCGGAACTCCATTCCTGTGCGTTCCTGCCCCAAAATAGCCCTGTTAGCACCTGGAATTGAGCCCGGAGGCAAACTGGAAATAAGTGTAGATGGAACAAGACAGTCTCTTTGACAGTCTTCAATCAATTTTCTGGTCACAGCATTCTGTAGCTTCTGGGCAGTCTTCAAGGGCAGCCCCATACTGCAGTAATCTACTCAAGATGTTACCAGGACATGCACCACAGGGGCAAGACCTTTCCCTTCCAGGAAGGGCCACAGCTGGCTGACCAGCCAAGCTGGTGAAAGGGACCCCTGGCACTGCCACCTCTTTATCCAACCTGGGTACTGAAGCAGGCTATGAACTTGCTCCTTTGGGGTGCGTGCAACCCCATCCAGAACAGAAAATATCCCAATTCCTGAGTCAAACCTTCCCCCCCCACACACACACACTAGGATTACGTTTCAGCTTGTTATTCCAACTGCTTAGGGGAGAAATTGATAGTTATCTCAGATGTTCACACCCCAGCTTTTGCGAGAAGGGGGCTGTGGTCAGTTTGGCTCTGATTAAAAATTCTCACACACTAGGATTAAGTTTCAGCTTGTTATTCCATCTGCTTAGGGGAGAAATTGACCGTTATCTCAGATGTTCACACCCCAGCTGTGGTCAGTTTGGCTCTGATTAAAAATTCTCACAGGACCTGTGGAAGGAAATGGTGGTGGGAGAGGCTAAGGGCTGGACAGGAAAGGAACCTGAAAGAAGGCAACCTAAAGGGCAGAGAGGGGAGCCAGGGTGCCTGACAGTAAATAACAGAGTGAGGCCTATGAAGCTAAAGGAGGGGCAGATGGAAATGGCAGTGGTAGAGGAAAGCTTGAGGGGCTGTGGGGTAGTAAGCCAAGGGAGCACAGGATTGCCACATCTAAACTCGGAGGAGGCTCCTATGCCTTAAAGAAGGGTATAGAGGGACCATTATACCTGCTGTAACCTCAGCCATTATTGCAGTATTGGGAACCAGCACCTGTAAGGGGGCAGTGGGGGCCAGGACTTGGAGGGGTGCTGATTTGCACATGCTGACTCGCATACTTGGTTTGCATGGTTCTGCTCTCCTGCCATTGTCTCAAAGCATGGGCAAGGAGGAGTGGGCAGTGGCTGCCATTGATGTTTGCTTATTGGATGTATTTACATACTGCCTTCCTACTACTAAAGTCAAGGGCAGGAAGAGAAGAGGGAAGAGAAGATATTCATCTGGCAAAGGCCATATATTCATCTGGCAAAAACCTTATAAAATATGCAATAAATAACTAGTATTTAAAAATATATATATCAGCAGACCACTGCGCACAATCCACTTATCAAGAACATTTCTTGGGTTTTGACCTGGTGCCAAAAAATTCAAGACAGTGTCAGACAGAGCGAAGATATTTCAAAACTGAGGTGCCACAGCAGAGAAGGCCCTGTCCTATTGATCCTTCTAGCCTACAGTCATTTCTATACTGGTGGCCAAAAGCTGCATGCAATCATTCTCTGTTGCACACTGCCACCTTGTGGCAACCTTTGGCTTTATACAACTTTGATTATGGCTGTTTGCCCACAGAGATTTTTCCTCAAGTGGAACACAGCATGCCTTGCTTTATTTGGGAGCTTCCATATGACACTACTCTCTTTCTGATCATGGCTTATGGGGCTATCAGGGCTTTCCCTTTTAAGCTGCAGCCAAGAAACACCTCCAAGCTTTCTCACAATGTCGTTTTCCATTTGATGTCTTCCAATGGTGTTGTGTCCGCTGACCGCCACCAGGGGCCAGCGTACACTCCTGAGCTTGAACCCGGCATAACAATAGGGACTAGGATCCTAGTCCCTCCACTGGGGAACCAATGGGACCGTGGCGGGAGATTTAAACCCGCCAATGGGATCCAGGGGTGTGTCCCCGGGGTGTGTATATAGTTGGCCTGCCGGCCGTTGTTCCCTGTCTTTGTTGTGTACGAATAAAGTGTGCTATGCACTACGTCAGTTTCTGTCGTTCCTCCATGTGGCGACCCACTACACAATAAATGGTTTATTTGTAGTTCCTCTTTGCTTTCTTAAATCAGGTGATTTGAGAAAGCACAGAGAAAGGACAAGGAAAACATAAAAAGACAACAAATGGAAAATGAGGACATGAGGAAGCTCATTTCATTTCACTCCATAGCTTTGAGGAATTCTTGGTTAGTTGCAACCATAGTTAGCTAAACAGGTGTGTAGTACTAAACCTCAGTTTTAAAAAACTTTGGACACCTTCTCTCATATGAACCTGCCCATCCGTTGAAATCTTCTGCAACTTAAAAAAAAAATGTATTTGCTGCATTTTAATAATTAGTGATGATTTGAATAAGTACTGCTTATTTTGAGATATGAGATTTTGTGCTGCTGTTTTGAACTGATTCTCATGCTAGTTGTTTTTCCCCAACTAATATTTCAGTTTTGTCAATTGATATTTGATATACCAATGAACTCATGTGAAATTTTGCCAGAGTTTTGGAATCATAAGTAACCAAATATTAAACCAAAGCAATATCAGCAAAGCCCTCAGAGTTTTTCCTGGGCTGACTTTCAGCCTAATCCCCTAACCTCTTAAACTGCTAAAATATTTTAATTCGAACAGAGTCCTAGAAGCGCCAGGGGTCACCCCCAATATGCTAAAAAAAAAGTAACATTTCTCTTCTGATTTCTTGCAGCAGCAACCTGCTAATCATGGCCAGCAGAGGAATACAAAGTTTTTCTGTACAAGAACAAATGCAGAAAAAACAGAGCCTTACCTGTTTGTTCAAGAGCACATAAAGGATGGGGTTAACACACAGGCTGGCTTTTGCCAAAATGGAAGGGATGATGCTCACTGCTGGTGAGATCATTCCAGGCTTGCCAAAAGTTGCAATCAGAGAGACTATCCCATATGGCATCCAGCAAAGGAAATAACAGGTAACCATGGCTACTACCATAAACAGAATGTGGTGCTCCCTTTTCTGAATAGATGTTTGGTGAAACCTAGAAACCTGCTAAAACAAGACAGCACAGATAACTTACTTATACCCACACATCCCCCCCACTGCTCTGTACCCTCTCATACAAAAAGCACATCATCTCTGCTTCCTCTAGACTACTTTAGTGCCATTTAATTCCTTAATGATTGGAATGTTTACAAGCATTCCATGACACCTGTTTTGCTAATAAACATCAATGCTGAAACCCTCCCCACCATTACAGCCAAATGTCTGAGAGTCTGCTTGGCTAAAATATTATACCCAATGCAAGTAGGCTTTGTCCCAGGGAGGCAGGGGGCAAATTATACTTGTCTTCTTATAAATGTAACAGCTTCCAGTGAAGGAATGTCCTTGCCTTGGATTTGGAGAAAGCCTTTGATAGATCGCAGTAGGATTTAATTTAATTAACGTTGAATTTCTTAGATTGTTAGAGCTATTATATGAAGAACCTAGAGTTTGTTAGGTAATGAGATTCAAAATAGCAGAATTAGATTAAAGCAGCCAGACACGTGTATTTTGTCTATAAAAAGATAACTTTACTAAAGATTAGGTAAAGAATACTTGGATTACAAAAGTAAAATAACTCATCCTTACTAGCTCTAAGCTACATGTTGCTTCTCTAAGAACTTAACTTGTGACTCAGGCTGATTCTGCATTGGCTTTTCCCTCCATTATTTTACAAAACCCATGTTGGAACAGAAATTCCCCTCTGCATTGCATGCTGGTTTCACTTTCTTTGATTACTGGGTTTTATGGTAGCTTCCACACTCCATGCCAGTTTCAAGTTCTTTGATCATAGGATTTTATTGTACCTTCTGCATGGATTTATGGCCATTTTATGGCTGTTCAGGGGTGCTTTTGCAGTCAGTACGGCATTGCCCTGAGGTATTTGAATGTGATTTTGAGGTGCACTTTTTCCTCCCAATTGACAAAATGTGGAGCGAATGCTAGATGCAGAATCACCCTCAGAGAGAAAACTTCATGAACAAAGACCAATAAGTTGAAACCCTATGCTCTCTCCCTTGGCTCATCCCCAAACTATTGATTAACCAATTGGAGATTCCCAACACTAGCTAATTATGCATTCTGTCACCTTGCTCTAGCAGGAAAAACATGCAGACAATACTATTGGATCCCGAACTATAAACTGGCATGCATAACAAATGGGGAAATGCTTTCATGACAAACAGGAAGAGAACTCGCAAATATCCCAACAGAGCTCAGGTTATTTGTAATAGATTAATGTTTCCCTTTCCCTTAATTTTTAGAAGGACAAGACAAAGTTGCCCCCTCTCTCCCCTTTTGTTTGGCTTGCACTGTCTGTCAAAGGACAGGCATCTCAGGCATAAAATTCTTCGAACAAGAAACTAAGTTATCCTTACATGCCTATGATGTTCTCTCTTTTTTTTACCTGATCCTGAATCTTCTGTTCCCAAATCTATCTATTTAACAGAGGAATACAGCCAGGTTTCTTGGTTATACAATTACCTGGACAAAAGCATTTGCCTTGCTTCTAGGTAGGCTGCTTCTAAACTCTGTAGAAACTCCAGCTGCAGTGTTAGAAGAGTCAAACAACACAAATATACACTGCAAAAACCTTTTATAAGTTAATGTGTTCTATTTGTTCCATCTTATAAAGTGCATTGTGTGTTATTTATAATATTCTAAAACAGGTATATATTCATTACATGCAATATCAACAATAATAATCAGTTTATACAATTCTAATAACTACCAGTCAATTTACATCCTTTTTATTGTTGATTGTGTAAAAAGGATGTAAATTGTATAAAAAGGATGTAAATTGACTGGTAGTTATTAGAATTGTATAAACTGATTATTATTGTTGATATTGCATGTAATGAATATATACCTGTTTTAGAATATTATAAATAACACACAATGCACTTTATAAGATGGAACAAATAGAACACATTAACTTATAAAAGGTTTTTGCAGGTGGAAAGACAGGAAATCATAAATACATTTCCTTTTAGATGGGTAATGAAAACCTGGAGACATCTAGGTATATATGTCCCATTAGATCTGAATGATTTATTTGATTGTAATTATAAACCATTGATAAATTTAATAAATAATATGCTAAATTCATGGTCAAAGACAATTTTATCTTTTTTTGAAAAAACAGAATTGATAAAAACAATAATTCTTCCTAATGTTTTGCTTTTATTCCAAAATCTACCTATTAGTATAAAAAGTCAAGTATTCCAGGAGTGGCAGAGAATGCTGTCTCAGTTTTTGTGGCAAATGAAGAACCCTCATATAAATTTCAGATTACTTACACGACCCTTGAAAGAGGGAGGGCAGGGACTGCCTAATTTAAAACTATATTATGAAGCAGCACTATTGAAGCACGCATTATTATACACTCACCCAGAATCTGGTAACGTCTGGGTTCAAATAGAGAAAAGTTATACCTCCCCTGGTTTGTTAAATGAAGTCTTTTGGGCTTCACCAAATAATAGACCTAAATCAATAAGGGGGAATCTATTTTTGAAAACTACTTTAGAAGTGTGGGATAGAAATAGGGAAGTATTACCTCTGGGTATTTCTACAGAAGCAGTTTTTTAAGGTCAGGTTTGGTTTCCCCCTGGACAGGGGGTAAACACATATAAAAACTGGAGAAATGTGGGAAAATTTAGAATTAGAGATTTATGTTTTCAAAGGAAAAAATGGACTAGAGAACAAATGGCAGAGAAATATAATGTGGAAATACCATGGTTTCAAGAGCAACAAATATCTCATATGATCGCCACCAATGGCATAATAGAGAACTCAAATCGCCCATTAATGGCTTTTGAAACTTTAATTCATAAAAAACTGACGGAACAAAAAGGAATTGTATTTCTCTTGTATAAGTCCTTGGCATTTTTGCGATGGTCTAAGATTTCAGCACAACAACATGCCTGGCATAAAGATCTTGAGATGGACATTTCTTTGGAACAATGGAATAAAATATGGAATTCGGGTTTATATACTACTACAGCATTACGTTTTCAAAATTATAAGATCTTTTCAAGATGGTACATGACTCCTCTTAAATTGTTTCATTCAAAAATATTGAAGGACCCTATGTGTTGGAAGGGATGTGGACAGCTTGGATCGTTGTTTCATTGTTGGTGGTCATGTCTAAGAATACAGGAATACTGATCAAAAATAATTTTATAGATAGAGGAGATTATGGATATTCAGATTCCTAAAACCCTGTTGGGAATTATTTTAAATGGTTGGAATAAGGGTCAATTTACATGTACTATAAGGGAGCTTATTGATTTACTGTTAATCGCAGCGAAAACAATATTGGCACAAGTCTGGAAAACAGATAAAATACCATCTCTTAGACAGTGGTTCTTGAAGGTATGGAAGATAAGTTGCTATGGATAAAATAGCAACACAAATAAGAGAAAAGGAGAGTACAAAATGTAAAGAAAACTTTACCAAAAAATGGTTCAGATTTTTTGATTATATTAATAAAACAAATGATACAGGTAGTGCCTTACCTGCAAAGTATGTTAATTTTGCATATTATTGAGATTTATTTATTGTTGAAATGGTTATTTGAAGAAATGAGATGCAATATTTTGATATTTTATAAAAATAAAGTTATAAAAGGTTTTTGCAGTGTATATTTGTGTTGTTTGATGCTTCTAAACTCTGACATCAGCAGTTGTCCAGATTTAAATGTCACTGTGCTACTCATACAACCTGGCCAAAGCCAAAAGTTTATATAATCAGAGAAGCTGCAGGGGTGAGTAGCCTTACCAGTCTGATGGCTTGCAGGATTCTCCCATAGCAATACATCATGGTCAAGAGGGGGACGAGAAGGCAAAAGACAAAGAGGCAGATGACATAAGAGATGTTGCTGGGAGTCCTGAGGTGCCAAGTGATGGAGCAGCTAATGCCAGGCCCTTCGGGGCCATAGCTGCTCCAGCCAAAGAAAGGCGGCAAGGTCCAGATCAAGGAGTAGAGCCAGGATGTAGCTATGCACAGCCAGGACTTCTGGTAGCTAGACACGTTTGCCTTGGTGTGTCTTTGCAGGACTATCACATAACGTTCATAGGAAAGGATGGAGAGTGAGACCAGGGAGACAATGCCTGACAAGAGAAAAGAGACTCCGTCCCAATTAACAAGTTAACAGCTTGCATTTGCCCATCTCATGGCCTAAGTCAGCCTGTGGCACATGCAAAAAATATCATACCCATCTCTTCTAACAGGAATGCTACTGTGGGGTGTCACATGATGAGATAACCATCTCCAGGCTCTTGTATAACTGACGACTAAGGACAGGTTTCTTTAATGGCTTCAGATGTTTGGCAGCTGTGAGCTACCAGACACACCCCATGTCCTTGGGTGAGGGCTGGGGGGAAAACAGCTTGGCAGCTGACACGGAGCCTGTGAAGGAGGACAGAGCCTGTGTTTTGGAACCAGCTGACAAGAAGCAGCTTCTGTGTGTCTGTGTCTGTGTCTGTGCCTGTGAGAGAGACAGATCCAAGGGCTGCAGATGGTTTGCCTTGAGAGAGGAAATTGATGCTGCTCTAAAGGCTACACTCCTGCTAGTTTATAAATAAATATTAACAAAAAATGCTCCTACTCACAAGGCTGACCCCCCCCCCCAAGTTTCTACTACTCTGGGGTAGAAATTTTGCAACTACCATCAGTGAAAAGAGCCACATGGCTACGGTGTACCCTCTTTGCCACCCCACCAAACACATACACATGCTGAGATATAAGTATAAGTAAGCGTATAACTATAACCTCTTTAATAACTGGGATACCTCTGAGCACATAGGGTGGCCTCTCCATCCCACTGTTGAACCATAGCCAGCCCTTGCGTTTCTAGAATGAGGTGAAGGGCTTGCGAACTGGACTTATGACACAAAACAGTGTGCAAGCTTTCACATTCTCCAGAAAACTTTATGAGGCTGGGTGTTAAAACTGCCCTTTTATGTTGAACTCTAGTGCTGCAAGAGAGGGGGGGGGGTTAGAACCTTCCCCTGTGCTCAGTGGGAACCAGCTGCCAACCCCACCAGGTGGTAGCCCTGAAACATGTGGCCCAGGTGCCACATTGAGGAACAGTGTGCAGAAGAGCCATAAGCAGCATGTAAGAGTCACATGTGGCTCCTGAGTCACTGAATAAAATTGATCTAACATATTTTTATCCTTCCATTCCTTCAAGAAACTCAACGTGGTATACATAACACTCCCCTCCATTTTACCCTCACAATAACCCTGCAAAAGAGGACAGATTAAGAGAGAGAGGGACTGGTCCGAGGTAACCCACAAGTTTCATGGCAGAGTTTAACTTAGAACCAGACTCTCTCCAGTTCTAGCCTGACACTCTCTAACCATTACATCACACTGGCTGATATGACTATTAAGGATATACCATCTGGGAACTCAATAAGGGACCTGTGGGTGGGGGAACAATTTGGAAATCCAGGATTCTTTAACTTCTCAGAGAAGTGAGCAGGACAACCCCCACCTTTGTCCTTTGCATGCCATCAGTCTGTCAAGGTCAGTATTGTCTAAATCAGGGATGACCAAACTTGCTTAACATTAGAGCCACATAGAATAAACATCAGATGCTTGAGAGCCAAAAGACATGAAAAAATATTTTGTTGTTGTTCAGTCGCACAGTCGAGTCCGACTCTTCACGACCCCATGGACCAGATCACGCCAGCCCTTCCTGTCTTCCGCCGTCCTCTGGAGTTTGCTCAATTTCATGTTCGTTGCATCTATGACACTGTCTAACCATCTCATCCTTTGCCGTCCCCGTCTTCTTTGACCTTCAATCTTTCCCAGCATCGGGGTCTTCTCCAGTGAGTGCTCCCTTCTCATTTGGTGGCCAAAGTATTTGAGCTTCAGTTTCATTATCTGGCCTTCCAAGGAACAGTCAAGGTTGATTTCTTTTAGGATTGACTGATTTGATCTTCTTGCAGTCCAAGGGACTCTCAAGAGTCTTCTCCAGCCCCATAGTTCAAAAGAATCTATTCTTCTGCGCTCGGCCTTCCTTATAGTCCAACTCTTGCAGCCATACATGACTACTGGGAATACCATTGCTTTGACCGTGTGGACTTTTGTTGGCAGGGTGATGTCTCTACTTTTTATCATGCTGTTTAGGTTCGCCATCGCTTTTCTCCCAAGGAGCAGGCGTCTTTTAATTTCATGGCTGCTGTCAGGGGATATCTGGGATTTGTTTGTTTTTAACTGTCTGTCTGTCTGTCTGTCTATCTGTCCTTAACTGAACGCTGTTTTGGAAAAGGGAGTTACTCCCCATTATTCCTGAAAGGGGGGCTATTGCAGAGCTTCTCCCCTTCAGAAGAGATCTGTTCTGTATTGTTTAATCTCTCCATGGAGGGAGTTAGACTGTTTTCTGCCGTTTTCATCTCTCTCCCCACAGAGAGAGATCTGTTTTCATCTCTCTCCCCACAGAGCGAGACCTGTTCTGTTCTGATTTGGGAAAGCTTTCTGTTGTTCTGTTCTGAATTTAAGAAAGCTTTCTGCTGTTTTGTATCATAGGAACTGGTTACTGAAAAACTGTTTTGAATCTGTGTGTGCTTTTACAATATTGCTGTATCAAAAAAATAATAAGTCTGGCTTGTTCAACAATGCATAATGCAATTATTATTGTTTCTTAAAATTGGGCAGCTTCTTGATGTTCAGTGTTAAACTGGCTAAGTTACAGGAACCTTGGGTCCCTCAAAGATGTTGCCAGAGCTCTAGAAGATATCAAAACTGAATAGGTTTGCTTCTGGGAAAATGGAATTCCTTTATCCAGGTCTGACTTTGCCATCATGCTTTTAGTATCTTCTAAAATTGTTAGCTTGTTGCGAGACTTGGATGTTACAGAACCGGGTTATGAAAGACCTTAATTTTCAAACCCCTGAAAATAATGTGGTTATACAGTGCTTGAATGAAGGTCTTATTATATTGGTCAAAAGCTGTATATTGCTTGTACACTGGAAGTCTTGACCTTGTTCTTCTTGATGTTAGTAGGTTTTAATCAGCATCGCTTACTGGCTGATGCCTTGTTACATGTTGTGAATATTTTACTGAGATTGGGATACTATCCTTATTTGTTCAGTCCGAGTGCATCTCTCTGAAGGCTTAGTAGCTGGTGTTGGAAGACAGTTTATCCATTTAAACTCACTGGTGGGAGTCCTGGGGAAAGGTAGTCCTAGGCTGATTTCGCACTAGAGCTGCCTCGATGTTGTGCCGCCGTTTGCCCGGATACTCTTGGTCAATTTCACACCCGAAGCTGCGGGGCTGCATTTGACCTGCGGCTCCACCCGATTTCCTCCGCAGTTTCGTGATCCTCAAAAAACAGGATCACAAAACTGCGGGGGAAATCGGGCAAAGTTGTGAGTCAAAATGCAGCCCCACAGCTTCAGGTGTGAAATTGACCAATAGTATCGGGGCAAACGGCGGCGCAACATCGAGGCAGCTCTAGTGCGAAATCAGCCTAGACTAATGGGAGGATTGACAAGCAACTGTAGATGCACGTCTCCTCCACATATTCTGTTCTGAATCTGCTTTCTGTTCTCTCCAGAGGGAGAGAGTTGGGTTATAGCCAGGAAACTGTTCTGAATCTGTATATGTGTCAGTGTCTGTGTGCCAAACGTTAGACCCTCTTGCGTTTGTCTTAAAAACTGGCACTGTTATTTGGGAAACGTGCTTTGGAATCTGGAAAAGAATTCATTGTTCTGTGTGTGTGTGCGCTTTGGAGTGTGGGAAAAATTAGTATTGTTACAGCTGAAAGATTCATTGTGTATCCTGCCTGCCTGTTTTGAAATCTGAAAAATTTATTGCAGCCTGTTTTTGGAACTCTGGAACTTTGCTATCAAACTTGGAAAGAGTTGTGTAGAGAAAATACATTTTGAGTTACCTTTTTGTCTCCAGATGCCACTCAAGAGGAAAATGAATGCTCCGTACTTTGAGAATGCCCGAGATGGTAGAATAGACTCAGGCTCAATTGTTAATAGAGATAGTTTAGCTGCCACCTGCCTTCCATCCCAGACATCCAATCACAGTTTAATATCAGTAGCAATGGTGGATCCAGTAAACTTCGTTTCACCCTCACCATATGAAGCTGTACAGTCTTCTTTAAAAGAAAAGACCTTTCAGGAAAGATTGACTCAAAGCTTGTTCTTGCAGCTTCTCTGATTGGGAGGGGCTGAGAGCTCAGAATGTTCGAATCCACTGGATGGCAGTTGAAGAAAATGGACGGTTGAGAAGAGGCTCAGAGAGAAGAGGGAGAAGGCAGTTACCTTAAGAGAAGGAAGGAAAAGAAAGGAGCTTTCTCTTGTAAAGTAATTGAATAGGATAGGATATGATAAGATAACATGGTTATTTTGTCTAACTTTGTGGATTATAGTAACTGCATAATGCTGAGGCTGTACCTATCAAGAATCTTGTAGTGGTAACTTCAGGAAACTGAAGTTCGTTTTATTCTTGCAAGTTTCAGAATATAACCATATGATCAATGGATTATAAAATCAGAGATTTTCAGCCTTTTATTATCAGTTCACTTCAGTGGTTGCTCTATTTAATATTTGTTATTGTGGTTTGTTACCTATAGAGCTGTGGTGGCTCAAGTGGTTAAGATGCTGAACTGCAGGCTGTGGAAGGTCAGTAGTTCAGCAGTTCGAGACCCAGGTGCCGCATGACGGAGGGAGCTCCTTTCTCTAGTTCCAGCTCCTGCCAACCTGGTACTTCGAAAGCAAGAAATTGCAAGTAGATAAATAGGTACCACTTCGGTGGGAAGGTAACAGCATTCCATGCACCTTGGTGTTTAGTCATGCCAGCCACATGACCACGGAAATGTCTTTGGACAGCGCTGGCTCTTCGGCTTTGAAACGGAGATGAGCACCGCATCCCGAGAGTCGGATTCGACTGGCTTTCGAGCAAGGGAAACCTTTACCTTTACCTTACCTATATTGTTAGTTATTACTTACATTAAAAGTTAAGTGCTTTACTATCTTAATGCTAATTATCTCTCCCTTATATATAAAAGCATAGTATTCTACTCTACAGGATTGTGCTGAGTGTTTTCTCAGATTAGGCTGGGGAAACACACACACTCATACAGAATTAT